CTCTTATGAGAGCTATGAAAACAGCAGTAAACTTAATAACCGATACTATTAAGAAAAGATTTGAACAGTTGCTTGGTAGTGTTGATGATGTGCAAGAGGCGCCTAAAGCAGTTGCATGTTTCAGAATCTTCAATCATGACACCTGGCCAGAGGAGGAAAGTGACTTGGTGAACTATGGGGAGACAGAGTTGGAGTACCTTGTGGAGTGGTTTGGTCCTCTTCTGGAAAGGTTTGTTGCATAAAATATTCACTGTCAAAATTTATTATGGTTCTTTATTCATTTTGAAGTTATGTATCAGACTGATTAATTATTGTAATGTTCTTTAATTTCAGAACAAACAACTGTGATCTTGCAGCCATCCCCCATCAATGGAGTTTGTTGAAAACACTGGTCAATCATGAATTTCAGATGAAATCATACAGTGGACTTTGGGCAACCATTCTGACAAAATCACCATACAAAGATGACTTCAAGGTAAGTCTTGTGGACATGTTTGTGCACTGCAGTGATAACATAAATTAATATTACAGTGAGTCAGTTGTAAATAATTGTTGTAATAGTTGTATATAATGTTTTTTCTTCTGCATATTTTTATTTTATTTTCTAGGATCTTCTTAATTTGGTAGAGATTATGTTGGTTCTTGGTTATGTTGGTTATGTTGAGTCTTTTCTGCCCAATCAAGAATAAAGACTGACTGCAGAAGTTCTCTGGCAACTGAAACATTGGAAGATCTTATTAGAGTGACTGCTGATGGACCACCAATAGCAGAATTTGACCCTGAACGCAGTGCTCAGAAATGGATGGATAGCACAAAAAGACCTAGAAGACCTAACTATAAACAGTGGCCCCCTGAGTGATAGAATGATACAGTAAACAAATACATTGTAATGTACTTTCTGTTGCAGGAAAACCACATTAAATATATGATACAAACCACTATGTCTTTGTGTAATATTGTCATTGGTTTTGGCCACTACATTTTTAGGTCTGGCCACTAACTTTTTGAACCTGGCCACTAAATTTTTATTTTGGCTACTAAAATTTTCTTCTCAGTGGCCAGTGACCACCTGGTAAAAAATTAGACTTAGAGGGCTGGTATGCGGTGTGAAAGAGGGGGAAAACTTAAAAAGTGAGATACATGGCACACATTCAAGATTCCATTCAAGACAAAACAACACTGCCTCAACGAGAAATTCACTACAAAGTGTCCCGCTTAATAACAAATAATAACAAATTAATAATTTTGATTCCATACCTTATCTGAGCTGTCTGGGTGAGATTGTAAAGCCAAACGTCCGTAGGCACGCAAGATATCGTCTAAAATTAGAAATTAGTATGTATTAATCCATCCATTCATGTAGAATCCATCAGTAACAATAATGAAACACTCCTAGGCCAAAGAACTGTTTGGCATATAAAACTGTATGTTCATAAATCTAAGGTGCATTAACTAGGTTGTACTGAGTGTTCACAATATTCTAAGATGTAAGTGTATGTTGTACTGAGTGTTTACAAT